ATATATATTTACATATTGTACTATTAGTGTAGTGGATATATTAGTATTTATAATAGTATATAATTATAATAGTATTTATAATATAATAGTATTTATAATATAATGTACAGTATCTGTTAAAATATGATGTATAATATAATGTAATCATTATATAATGTATAGTGTGTCTAATATGTATAATATGCTATTATTGTCATATATTTTATATGTATATAATTTTTATATATATTCTATATATATTACATAATGACTTTAAAGGGAGTTTATAATAAATTCACCCTCTTTAGCCACTGAAAACCCCCTTTTTACCCCTTTTTTTTTTCCAGGCAGCAGAACAAGGGAGGCCTCCAGAGCACACCAGCAAGTTCTATGCCAAGGGGGCACTGCAGTATTTGGTGCCAATCCTCACACAGACCTTGACCAAGCAGGTGAGTTCAGAATTCCTGGAGGGTTTGGAGCTCTGGGATCAGGGGGAGTTCAGAATTCCTGGGGGTTTGGAGCTCTTGGATCAGGGTGAGTTCAGAATTCCTGGGGGTTTGGAGCTCCAGGTCCAGGGGGAGTTCAGAATTCCTGGGGGTTTGGAGCTCTGGGATCAGGGTGAGTTCAGAATTCCTGGGGGGTTTGGAGCTCCAGGTCCAGAGCTCTGGGATCAGGGGGAGTTCAGAATTCCTGGGGAGTTTGGAGCTCTGGGATCAGGGTGAGTTCAGAATTCCTGGGGGGTTTGGAGCTCTGGGATCAGGGTGCTCCTTCCTGGCTGCCCTGGGAAGGGGGTTCCTGCTCCCCCTGCTCCCCGAGGGGCTCCAGGTGGTGGCAGTTCCTCGGTCTGTGATGAGGTTTCATGCACCACTCTGAGCAAATGATGCATCAGTTTTGGGGCTGAGACTCTGGAACTGCCTCCAGCAGCTTTTCCCTGCTCGGAAATTTGTGATTTCTGGAGAGGTCTGGTAAGAATTCCCTGTATTCCTAAGGAAATACTGGTGAAATTAAACCCGGTGTTGCACATTCTGAGATCCAGCTCCTGGAATCTTTGAGCCTGGAGTGTTTATTTAGTGCCCATTAAACACTTCCCAGGGACTTGTTTGGGGCTGTGCTTCCCAGGCTAATCAAAACTAATGGAATTGCTGCAGCAGGTCTAATTAGAAAATAAAACTGTTAATTAAGCTGTACGGGACAGAGTTCATTTGGCTGGGAAAAGTGCTCTGAGTGAATCCAGGGAATTGTTTCCCTGTTTGTTTGTTTGTCTTTTTTTTATCCTGGAGTTAAATTGCAGGAGGTTCTCAAGTGCTTGTTAAACAAAACAGGTGAGAGAATCCCAGGCTGAGCTTTTAAAG